ACCCTCAATATGACTTTGACAACATTTCTCATCAGTACCAAAAGTTTGAGAAACGTGTGATTATCGTTCTTGGAATAAATGGAGATAAAGCAGAATGGAAATGAGTCACATTGATCTACACACTGAAAATCCCAGAGATAGATGGTTGGAATGGAATGGCACTCTCTCTGGAGGGAGGGACGCATTCTGCTCCATCAATTCCAGAAAATATTTGGCGCAGGTTGGCAAGAGCCAAGGCTTGAGGACCCCAGTGTGTGCGTTGGGGTGATTGCTGGAGTCTAACTAGTTAAAATTGCGTAGCTGACTGCCCTACCAAGACCTGAGTGGGAGGATTCCCCGTCCCCAAGGAATAACTGGCCTGCCCTTCCAAGTCCTGTTGATGAATCAATGATGAGGAAAAGTGCAGAGAATGTGTATTTTCTGGATGAAAAGCGGCAGGCAATTGTGCACAGCAGTGTCCCACAAACAGTCGTGGATTGAGTGACCAAATTATAATAACTTTATTTATTGTTAAGGGATTATCAACCCCAGAATGTGATCCGAAAATCGTCTAACAACCAGGTTCCTACATGCTGCAAGTAAAGAGAGACGTGTGGAGTAAGGAAACCTGCCTAAGGTTTTGCCTTGCCATCTGTTCTCAGCCTTCCAAGACACATACCTTATCGTAGCATTGAGCTGCTTTTTAAATGAACAATACGATGAACAAAGTGGGGCTGGACAAATAATCGAACGGATAATTTCAGGTAACACAGAGAATAATAATAATCCTTGCATTTGGTATAGCCCTTTATTACATCTTCAAGACGTCTCAAAGCGCTTCACAGAATACTATATAAAGTGTATATTTTGTGGGTGAATACCTGCAAAGTGAAAGGCAGAATCACACAGCTCATCTGACACTGTAAAGTGTGAAACCTAAAACGTAACTCAAACCTAAAGTTCTATTATTACATTAAACTTCCTTTTACCTAATTACCGTTTTTATAATCCAATGGAGCCCAATTATAAAAACATCCTGTTTATTACTGCAACTTTAAAAACTTCTGAATTGTTTCCAGTCATCTACATCTGATCGAACAGCGCATAAACCTCAGCTGAAAGGATGTTTCAATTAGAAACTTAGAATAGCACGCTCTAATTGTGAAAAGAAACTAAACCAAAACGATGTATTGCTGGTGATCTCCCCTCTCATTTAATTCTCTGCCCTCTCTCCTGCAGACGATAGTTCCAAGATCCCAAGATTGGTTTGGATGAAGAAGAAACTTTGTCCCATCTGATCTGATTTGATCTCATCCCTCCAGAACACCCACTCTACCTACTCCCCGGCCCCACCTGCCACAGCATTGAGCCACTTTTGAAATGAACGATACATCTCCACAGGAAGCCATTGTGTGAACAATCAGTTAATCCTTAATAATTTTGGCACTTGATAAGGCGCCTTATAATGTCATTGAGGAGACACAAAACCCTTCACAGGATACAACAACTTTTATTTAGACAGCGCCCCTCACGTGGGTTAGCGTTCCAGAGTGCTCGACGGTGGTGGAGCTTGATTTAATGTCCCAATCCGAGCAGGTGGGCGCCTCTAAAAATGCAATACCCCCACCCTGTCCAGCACTGCATTGGAGTGTCATTTTAGACTGTGCGATCCCAAGTCCCGATGTGGGGGCTTGACCCCTTCTGGCTCGGAGTCGAGAGCGCTACCATGGCACCAAGCCGACACACCTAATTAAGGGTCCGATGGGTGAAATTCCATCCAAGTTTACTCTGCTCCAGGTTTGCTCTGTTGAGGTAGCATTTTCCGGAGGGCTCAGAATCTGCCCCGTTGCCGAAATCGGTCTTAACTGTGAAGCCGTTTTTCTGCATTTCCGAAAAGAACTTACAGAAAAACCTGCTTCGAAATTATGGCTAACAATTTGCCAAATTCTGGAGACCGAAATGCTAAGACATTGCTAAGAAATCTAGATGAGGGTGAGTTTAGGAATACGTTTAGGAATACTGCAATTTTGACGGGTCGTACCATAAGAATCAGAATGTATTTGTGCTGCTATGATGGTTGGGGACCCGAAATATTAAAAATATATTTTTAAAGTAAACGTGTACGTACAGAGGGTTTTGTGGGCAGGCTGCTCGTGGCTTATAATAACTTGATTTAATAGTCAAAATCGAAACATTATTAACACTAATACTAATCCTACTAATCCTTTCACGTCCGGAGGACGTCCCAAAGTGCTTCACAAGGTATACCGTAAAGTGCAGTGACTGTGTTTTGCGTTCGAACGTGGCAGACATGAAGCGAGCAGCAGATTTTATTTGACAAAACGAGGGAAGGAACATGGGAATTTGCTCGGTGAAAGAAGACCGAGGTCCATCCAGCTCACCTTCCACTATCCTGGCAGTCGTTTGGCACACGTCATATCCCAAACTATACACAGTCTCCCGAGATATTATTTCCTAACAGGAATCGATCAGATTCGTTCTTGAAAGATTCAACGTGTTCTGCTTCTACCGTCTCTCTAGGGAGATTACTCCATAAGTTTACTAAAGAGACAAATTAGTTTCATAACGGGGGCAATTATCTTCTTTGCTTAGTTTCATTGCTGGTTCCACTTTGATCATGGAGCAAAGCAGCCACGAGACACCACTCACGTCACCCATCTGATTTAGACACGCACGTTTGAGGTGATTAAAAAAAAAATTGATCCCACGAAGAAACGTGCTCATGGTCTAAGGCGGGGGGAGGAGAAAGATAAGATGTGATGAATGGCACTTTCAGTTATTTTTTCTATGAACTTTAAAACTAGATATCGGTGGTTTTACGCAACAGAACTTCAACTATGTGCTTTTTTTTGTGGCTACATGAAAATTTGTCAGACATGGACTTGGCTTGAGTCAGTATTACAGACAGACACTGCAGGCTGTTCCCAGCTTGTGTCCCTGTGTCTCAGTTCTAAACTCCTGCTGTACCTCACTGTTTATATATATAAAATATATTTTATTTGTGCCGACTGCACATATTAACCCTTGCACTTGATAATCCATGCAATTTGATGTAGTGCCTTATCAGGAGGGTAAAGGGTGACCTGATAAATAAAGATCTTTAAAATTATGAAAGGTCCTGATGGGGTAGGGAAGATGTTTCCATGTATGGGGAGGACCAAAACCAGGGGCCATCAATATAAAATAATCACAAATAGATCAAATAGGGAAGTTAGAAGAAATTTCTTTACACAGAGAATAGTGGGAATGTGGAACATGCTGCCACAAGGAGTTGTTGAGGCAAATAGCATCGATGTATTTAAGGGGAAGCTGGACAGGTACATGAGAGAGACAGGAATAGAAGGTTACGTTTGAAGGCTCAGTTGAGGAAGGGCAAGAAGAGGCTCACATGGAGCATAAACACCGGCACAGACCAGTTGGGCCGAATGGCCTGTTTCTGCGCTGTACATTCTAATGTATTCCAACGTATTCTAATGTATCACATTGTCGAGACGTCTCAAGACGTTTCACAGGATACACTATAAAGCGGATTGACTGTGTATTTTATGGGTGAACACGGCAGCCAGTTTGTGCATAGCAATGTCCCACAAGCAGTCGTGGACTGAGTAACCAATTTAAGGTTGGATTTAGTGTAAGGCATTGTTGGCCAGGACACCGGAGAGAGAAACTCCTTTCTCTTTTCGACTGGTGCCATGGGATCTTTAACTCCCACCCGAAGAGGACGAGACGGGACTTCGTTTTAACATCTGGTCCAAAGAAATGTTAAAATCTCAACGGAAAATCTGACATCGAAATCTATCCTGAGTGAAGCGTGCTGCGTAAATGCAAGTTGTTGCTGTTTGGCCTGCGTGACTTAAAACATATCTGTATGCTATAAATATAAATCTAACTACACTCTTTAAGCTCTCCGAGACGCTACTTCGTGTGAATTGAAGAGCGCAATATAGACGCAAGTTGTTGTGTAGTCCCAAGTTTATCTTAGATCAGTTCTTCGCTTTGCCTGGTGTGGCTCTTATTAGCCAAAACAGCTTCAGGCAGAAGCCAAGCATTAATCTAGCTGCTAAACCGAGGTCCCGACTGTCTGTTCAGGTGGACATTAAACATCCAGCGGCACTACTCAAAAAGAGAAGGGAGTTCCTCCCAGTGTCCTTATCATCTATCCCCCAAATAAACTTGGTCATTCACTTTGTGGCTCTTTGTGGGACGCTGCTGCGCTCAAACTGGCTGCCGCATTCACCTTTAAATTGCACAGTCACCACCCCTGTGAGTATAATCCCGCAAAGCGTTTGAGATGATCTCCTGACGTGAAAGGAGCTGAACCAAGGGTCATGATGATTTTTTTGTTGCTATTATTTATCGTATATAAGAGAAGGAACAGTAAACTTTGAAGACCCGATTGGTTCGAGGTCGTAACGCTCACAAAAAGAACCAAAAACATTCTCGACGTGTCTCGGTGCGAAGCTATCAGGATGTTTCGAACCTCTGGAACACTCATCCTCCATCCCCCTGCCTATCCCCTCCTTCCCCATCTTCGGATCAGGTCCTTTCTTCTTTGACCGTGCCTATGGTCAGTGCCCACTTCCCCCGCATCGGCGCAGTGCTGTGCTCACACCACTGTCGAGGGTTATTGGCAATATTGGAGACTGACACTTGTCAGAAATTGGCTGTCGAGTTGACTGCAAAGTCAATCAAGATGCAGCTGAAATCAGCACAAGTAAAACAAACTGGAGGGGGGGGGGGGGGGGGGGGCTGCAAGAGCCTTGAAAAAAGTGCAGAATCTCACTTTTTAGCAGATCTGAAATAATCCATTCTTTAGCATTAAATTCCGAACCACTCAAATTTCACAATGGAAACTCACATGCCGGGAACTTAAATGACATTTACCATTTGTCAGTAAGACAGGAAGTCAAAACCTCGATCAGTCACTAAAGGAAAATATAAAAGAAGAATCAAGGTAAAGAAGGCTGTAGAGTGAAGAAAACGTAAACTCGGGTTGTGCCAATCAGACTGAAACCATGCAGCGTGCAACTGTTGTTCTGTGGATGCTGCTCACGCTGTTTAATATTCAGTGTTGCTGTTGCAGTCATAGACAGGCAGCTGGGCTATGCCTTAGCACATCTGTGCTGCATATTCATCTCAGAGAACTCAGGACAGCTAATCAGAAAATAAGCAGCTATTTTGTAAGTATGGAGAAACGAGTTTGTCACGATGTTTGTGTCTCTTTACAGGGTTTTTAACGAAGCGGGTTAAAAAAGTTAAAAAAAAAACCCCCCTCACTGTTCACGTCAAGAACAGCTGTGTGTTGCACATTTTAACGGTGACAGATATTCACAGGTTTTCGCTTAGAGTTCAGACAGGTTTCTTTTATTGTATATATATTCCCCCCCCCCCCCACGCCCTCCACCCACAGCTGGAACATGATTTAAGGTGATTTTGAAGAAGCAGCTGTTTCAAGGTGTCAGCGTTTGGGTTCAAATCGTGAAATTCCGATTTCTGATCTCTTTAGAAAAAATACTTTTATTCTCGTATTGCGATACACTCAGGGCGTTAAAAAAAATAGGTCTGTGCAGATTTGTTCAATTCCACTTTTATAATAACTGTGATCTTAAAATGCGGCGGAGTTGCTGCAGAGTGTGCATTGTGACAATCAGTTCAGGATATTGTTGCATTATTATTATTATTAACAATATTAACAATGTAATTATTATTTATTTATATTAATTATTGCAAATATTAATAATCATTATCTATCCTTGCATTTGATATAGCACCTTGCATGTTGGGAGGGCATTTGAAAGTGCTTAATAATAATAATCCTTGCATTTGATATAGCGCTTTTCACGTCGGGAGGACGTCCCAAAGCGCTTCACAGAACACACTGTAAAGTGAATTGACTGTATATTTGTGGGCGAACGCGGCAGCCAATTGCGCACAGCAATGTCCCACAAACAGTCGTAGATTGAAAATGACCAATTTATTATTGTTTTTGGTTTTGGAGGGATTATTATTAGGCTCTGTGTGGAGTAAGGAAACTTGCCCGAGGTTTCGCCCTCTGCCTGGAATTGAACTCAGGTCTCTCGCTTGCAAAGCGAGTGCTCTAACCACTGCGCTACAGGACTCCACAAACCTGCTTCACAGGTTTTTGACTGTAAAATGCATTTTGCAGGGGGTTTATTGAGCAAACAATATAAATGCAGCAGAATCAGTTACAGACGAGAAATAGAAATCCCTTATCAGGATCAATGATAACAGCAGATAATAAAGACTCAGCTACAAGTGGTAGAGCGTTAGCTACATACTTATCTCAGCTCAGGTCTGCATCTGAGGGGAATTTCTTCGTTTGCGTTTCTTCATTTGTCAGGAGGTTGCAATGTTGTGACTTGTACAATCTGATTCCTTTTAGCAAAGGAGAGACGGCAATATTCGTGTATCGCTGCTGAGAGGGAAATTTCAGCATGAATTTAAGGTGAGCGCATTCGGGTGCAATTAACCGAACACATGAAGTGTGCACGACAAGTAAATGGGTACCGCGTCTAAAGGCACGGGTTTGTAACAGTGGTTGATGACAGGTGAGAAGCTGGGATATCCGTCAGCTGGGAACGAGAAGCCAAAAACCCGCCGAGTTACACGATACGTTCCCTTGTGATGAGAGCTAGTCATGAAATGCATGTGGTAAATATTACACGAGATAATGTTATGAAACGCGTGTGATAACTATCCCACGTAGTGTGTTATGAAACGTGGTAAATTTCACTCACATGTTCATTCTTGCCTGTGGTTGTTTTTTTTCCCCTTGTTGATGTTGCTGATGTTGTTGCTTTTGTTTCGCCCTGTTGGTTGAAAGTGGGGGGCGGGAAGGGTAAACAAGTTAACTTAGAACTAAATTGAAACAAAAGTTGAGGCAATAGCCAACGTGCTACAGGTGCTTTTAATAAGAATAGTATTAATAATGATAATAATAATAATAATAATAATAATCCTTGCATTTGATACAGCGCCTTATCACGTCTTCGAGGCGTCTCAAAGCGCTGCACAGGATATACTGTAAAGTGAATTGACTGTACATGTTCGTGGGCAAAATGCATAGATTAGGAAATAGAATCCGGACTGGGTTGAATCCGGACTGGGTTGCAGAGGCGCAGAAGTTATTGTTGTTTTTGTTGTGGTTGGGAACCAGCGATCATTATCAGATTTCCCATTCAGCGCTTTCTACAGCAAAAGGACAGCATTGTGACCGTGATTTTCCTTTTTGCTCGCTATGTAGGGTCGTTTAGGATGTCAGTTTTTGAAGGAAATGTTAGATTTCTACCTCAGTCACATAATCCCAGCCGCCAAGACGCAAAGCAAAGCCTACAACACCCACATCAGTAAAATCGGGAACACGCTGTTCGAACTACAACAGAACATAGAGAATTGCGTAAGTATCAGAGAGACACGGGGTCGTTCATTTAAGGTGTCAGCTGGCAAAGCCTCTGGGGGTGACTCGATATAAATGCAAGTTGTTGTTGTTGAGTTGGTAGTATCCAAATGAAGTGAGATTTGCTGAATTAACTGCCAATAGCTGTATTTAACACAGTAAAACTTGCCTACGTTATCCAACTTTATTTGGGGGAAATTCAGGATCAATTTCATCCCCAGCCCCCAATTTGAGCTATTCCAGATTGCTTATTATCACCGCTGTGTTAGAACTCCTAAACCGTTGACTGAAGTTAATCAGCGGCTTGTAGATATCGCACCGAATAACTGGGTGGTCAAGAGTGAATCAAACTGAGACAGTGGTCTGGTTCTTTCATTGAATCCACCTCCATGTGCACAAGCCATGATTCTATATATATGGCTAATATTCTGTCAGGGTTACGATCAGCCTAAATGTACCAACTTGCAAACTATTACTCGTACATTATCTCAATTCTTTTCCAGCCTCCATTCATCCAGTAGCTAACCCCCCACCCACCCTCCCAAACCCTGCTCCCCCTCCCCAACATTAGTCCAGCGGACCCTAAATGCATTTCTTTTTTTAAAAAAAAGCCTGGCAAAGGAACAACATGTTCACATCGTTGCATCAATCCGTGTTGCAAGTTTTTGCACAACTAACTGCTGAACGTTTGCATTTATGAAATGCACGGATGTGTGTTGGAAACAGGAGGTTGTGAAAGTGAAATTGGTGCACGCCCTGTCGCTTTGTGTACATTCGCCTTCTCATCACCCCCGAGCATGTGAACTGATAACTGGCTACCCAAAGCAACTCCAACACAGCGCGATTTCGCTTCCAATACTAAAAGGCGCGAAGCAGTGAGAGAGAAAGAGAGAGAGAGAGCTTCATCTCTCCAGTCTGGTGAGCAGGCTGGGTCGCTCTTTGCAAGTCGCCCCTTTTTTTTTTGTTTGAGAAAGAGAAGGAGAGGGGAGAGAGGAGAGAGAGAGAGAGAGAGAGAGAGAGAGAGGGGGGAAGGGGGGTGGGGGAGAGGGGGAGGAAAAGAGGGGTAGAGAGAGAGAGAGAGAGAGAGAGGGAGGGAGGTGGAAAGACAGGCATTTACATCAATTCAGAATGAAACATATGAACGCCCTAGCCACAGCCACTGTGAAAAACTGTTAACCAAAGAGATCTGCAAAAAAAAACACCCTCAACCAACTGCTCCGCTCATGTGAATCATCTAACCAGCCAGATAATAATCACTGCGCTGCCTTTGGGACTCGTGTTAAATTAGATAAGCTCGACCACCAACTTCAATGTCAGGCTCTGCTTTTAGCGTCGATGCAAAATCGAGGCGGTTTTGTTTGATGAATGGCCAGCGTGCTGACTCAGCAAAGACTGGCTCGCAACGTTCCTATTTTGGCAGGAATTGGGAGGCGCAATTCGAGAAGCAACTCTCTCGCTCTCTCCTTCTGTTTCCCCCGCTGCACACGCCTCGTGCGCCCAGCGAAAGGTGTTAGCTTCACATCGCACTCATGAGCGGAGCAGTTGGTTGGGGGTGTTTTTTTTTTTGCAGATCTCTTCGGTTAACGTTTTTTTCACGGTGGCTGCCAAACCTGCCAACTGTGTGAAGCAACAAATAATCCTCGCATTTGATATAGAACCTCATCGGGTCCTCAATACGTCTCAAAGGGCTTCACAGGATAAGCTGTAAAGTAGATTCACTGTATATTCTGTGTGTGTATTTTACTCTTATTGTAGTAAGTATTTACTTGTAGTAAGAGCCAGACCACAATCTGCCGTGGAAATGGAAATATCTATTGCACCCGCCACTTGGCTATTTCCTGAAAAGCTGGAGACATAACAAGGGGGGGGGGAAGGGAGGCATTTAACCAAGTAAATGCTGAAAGGGAAGGCCAGAATAGATGCTGTAATAACAATGATTAATAATTCTCACATCAGGTGGCGTCCACTCCGCAATGGTTCTGTAACCAAAATTCTCAGCGTTTTCAGTCTTCAGAACATTTGCACGTTGTTCAAAGAATGATTTGCAATCAGTTTGATGAAGGTGCAGTGCTGGGAGATGTCTCAAAGTGTTTCGCGGGATTTACTGTAAAGCGTAGTGACTGAGCGTTTTATAGACACATCAGCTGCCCATTGAGTAACAGCGACCTTTGTATCTTCTCAGCACCAACTCTTTAACTGTGACACCTGCAACTGCAATCGCAGTAATTACATCGAGGAGATATACAACATGTACAAGAAGGTAAGGGCAGATAATTGCAAACGATTTGAACACGCAGCACGATACGGTACGCATCACAGGGAGAGAAGACCGAAAGCGGCGGCGTTGAGATACGTTTCGAGATGGGGCTTGAAAGAGTAGAGGGAGGGAGGGAGGGAGTTGGAGGAGGGAAGGACATGAAGCAAGACGAGGCTCTCTGAACAAAGCGAGCAGCCGGATTGGAAGGCCATGGGAAGGATGCATATCAAAGTCTTTGCTGTTGTCTAATGGCACCTTCTTGTCCTTCTCAGTTGCAGGATAAAGGTATATACAAGGCTATGGGAGAGCTCAACACCTTTATTGACTGGCTCGATAGGTTTCTGTCGATGAAACTGAAAGGAGCGAACAAGAAGAGAAAGTGAACACTTTTCCGATGGAGCGAAGCCACTAGTATTTAAACTGACACATAGATATATATATATATTTAGGGGATTTGGCAGTTTCAGGCATTTTTCTTTCTCCAATTTTCTTGCAGGATGTGAAATGACAGTAATTTATTATCTAGTATCTATCTAAACCAATTTGAAATTGGCCGTGTTATATTAATAATAATAATAATAATCCTTGCATTTGGTATAGCGCCTAACCACGTCTTTGAGACTTTTCAAAGCCCTTCCCCAGAATACACTGTAAAATTAATTGACTGTGTAATTCGTGGGCGAAACGCAGTCGCCAATTGCGCACAGCAGTGTCCCACAAACAGTCATGGATTGAGTGACCAAGTTATCGCTTTCCGGGGGTAATAATCCCTTCAAAAAAATAATAATTTGGTCACTCAATCCATGACTGCTCGTGGGACACCTGCGTGCGCAATTGGCTGCCGCGTTTCGCCCACAAAATATTACAGTCAATTCACTTTACAGTATATTCTGTGAAGTGTCCTATACAGTCATTAACTGAGGTCAGTTACCTTTAGCGAGCACCACAAATTGAACTGGCAAAGTGGGCTGTGAGGGTAATCTGTTGCAGTGCCTGTAAGTGCTGGGCAGTCGGTATGCTCTTCCTCCCTCTGAATAATATTTTAAACATTTTATTTTAATCGGAGTTGAGGTAAACATCAGCCACGATCTAATACAGGGTGGCCAAACATTCGTGAAGCTACCCTATTGTCTAAAACGATATACATCATCGTTTCTTTAAGACTTATTAGACATTGTCATGGGATCACGACTTTTTGGTCACCCTGTAGAATGGCAGAACACGCTCAAGGGGTTGAATGGCCTATCCCAGTGCCTGCGTTCCTACATGTTGCTGCAAAAGCAAAAGTTAAAAGGAGCTCCGGCTGTTAATTCTACCTGAAGCGCTCAACTTTAGTATTATGACCTGCGGCCTCAGTATTATAATCCATTTATTTTAACATTGTTATTTATAATAGATTGATTGAGGAGTTTTAATCACTGCCTTTTTTTTGTGACTTTCTTTTACTTAAAGCTCCTTTGCCTCAACGATTGTGTAAGACCCAGTTGCAACTCGACCTTTAGAGAGTCAGTCTTTTATTTCAACTATTTATTCAGTTATTGATATTACTAATTAAGTTCTAACGGATGTGCATTTGTTGTATTTTACGCTATCATGCGGTAGCATAACTCCAGTAACTGTTTACAGTACCTAGAACAATAGAGATTGTTAGCAAGGTAAGATACTATTTGACCGATTGCATTGTAGTAGTCAGTGTTTGTACTCTGGAGCAACGAAAAAATTTAGCCCCAGTTAGAAGCATTCCAGTACCGTGGATTGGGAAAAGAAGGGAGAGAGAGAGAGAGCGAGACAACAGCAAATGACTTGAGGTCAATCTATGTAAATTTTAATGCACTGTTTGCGTGTGTATGTGTGTGTGTGTATGTGAATGAGTGCGTGTGTGAATAAGTGAGACCCCCCCCCCGGGGAGAATTCCAAGCAAGACCAGGATTACCCTGTTTAACGTAGAGCTTCCAGAATCGGGCAAATTCATAACTCGGGCCTTAGATTCTAAGCTGCTTTTTTTTGATCAAAATTCGTTTAAGAACCACAGGAAACCAATTTCAAAGTCAAGACTGAAATTCAAGAAAAAAGCCTCGCAGGAGATTCTGATCGCTCTAAAGTTTTAACGTGAGCACAGTAAACCTAGACCTTGGTGGAATTACTCCCCACACAAGTATTTGTTACCAAGCATACCTCATACTGAAAGCATTAACCGTGCATTCAGCTTTCAAATTCATTCGTGAATTGACTAAACTCAGCATTATGTGTTTTTGCAGCAAGGCCAAACATTGGTTTTAACTCTTTGAGTCACTGAATCCCATTAGCAGCCTTCTCTGCTGACAGTGACTGAAAGCAATCAAGGTACATTGCCCCACATTATGCAGAGAGAAGTGGGCACGTCCTTTGCGGTTGTGGACCCACGGTCGTCAAAGAGTTAACACCGCCTTTGTGTTTTAAGTATTATTCCTTGTTTGATATATAGACGTATTGCATTTACCTCATGTGTTGTGTGTTGTGTGACCAAAATGTATTACTATCGACTGCACTGACTGAATAAACATCTTTGAAAGAAAATCTTTTCAGTTTATTGTGATTTATTATGACCCAATTGGAGTGAAAAATCGACTTTGAGATTGGACTTTGGCTGGTCGGACCAATTCACCTCCTCTATCTTACTCTTTGGCAATTCTTTGGTAGGAAAGAGCGCAAGAAACCATCATATAGCATCACACATTAGTATGCCAGCTCTGGATCATCTAAGCACATTTCCCTACATCGCAGACCACAATGAGACGGCATCGTACCTACTGAAATGCTTTAGCTGGTTAGGCTCCAGCAGTTACCCCCCAACACACACTCTGGGGTCACCCCCAAAGCCTTGGCTCTTGCCAAACTGCGCCTAATACTTTCTGGAATTAGGTAAACAGAATACATACCCTCCGGGCGGGAAGAGAGAGAGAGAGAGAGTGCGCATTCCAACAATCCATCTCTGGAATCTTTGTGTGCAATTGGGACGCAAAGAAATCTCAGTTTGGTCTGGATGCTGTTTATAAGCACGGTGACGGGTTTCCGCTTGTGTCAGACACCAGCCCGACCCCAAAACTAAGCTCACGAGAATTTGCGCTACTTGAATCGTATTCCTTACTTGCCCTTTTGTGGCTTTGCTGGTATGATTTGAGTCAGCAGGTGTTGATGTGGTCACCCACTTTATAGCATCAACGCACCCTTTTGCGATCGCACTGTCCGTTTCAGTAGCACGGTTTGAGCCCAGCAGTTGCTCAATTTCATTCAGGGAAACTAAAGTCAAAGTGATGTTATCGGAGGACTCTTCAATATTAATGCCCAAACAGCTATTCTGTAAAAACAGAAGCGAGTTAAAAGCCGGAATAAATATGCAGTTCTCCCTCCCTTTTTTTCTCTCCCGCAAATTAGAAAGCTTTCTTTGAACCGAACGTTGCTTTAGCAATAAAGGGATCTCAAAATAGATGAGTTTAATTGTGGTCGCTTTGGTCTGAGTCATGCACTGCACCACAGTTCAATTAAACAGAAAGAAACAGGAACCTTTTCATTAGAGTCAGCACTAAGGTTCAATTACAGTATGGAATTGCTTATATGAGCGATATGATGTGCGCTACAATAACAATCCACGCATTTGATGTAGACCTTATCACGCCGCGCTTTTGAGCCAGTACGACCTGAAATTCTGGAACTTTCCACCTCAATCCCCCGCCTTGCTCCATCCTTCCACACCTTCAGGTCGCGCTTAAAGACCTTCCTCTCCGACCGTGCTTACGGTCACCTCCCCTCTTGGAGTCGTGCTCCGCCACTGTCAACACTCTGGGATGCTACGCTGCGTGAACGAAGGCAATTTGCGCACCGCAATGTCCCACAAAACCAATCGCTTGCAATGTTCACAGTCACTACACTTTACAGTATCTTCTGCGAAGTGCTCCGAGGCGCACTCCTGACGCGAAAGGAGCCACAACAGACGTAAATCGCATCATTATTAAATAAACCACCATAAATTGAGCGATCAAATGCATCTGTAGAATCGTCCCGACCCAAGTGTCCAGCGCCTTGGGACGTCCTCCCGACGTGAAAGGCGCTCCATAAATGCAATCTTGTTGTTGTTGTTGTTGCTGTTGACCAGGACATTGGGAGAAACCTCCTTCTACGTGGGACCTCACGTTAATGCACTATTTGTTATGTGCATTATAATACATTCAGGAGGATGGTTAGACACGACACGGGGAAAAATTAACTCCTTTCGCTTTTTAGCGTTGGGGATCTTTAAAACCCACCCGAAAAACAGGGAGATGGGATCTTGATTTAACGTCACAGGTAGAGGACAGTATCTCTGTGTGTCCCAGCCCCGCACAGCTTAGAAATGTGAAACTTTTGTGATGTCGTTCTTGAACCTGCAAACTAGACTAAATTAGAGATAAGCTCTGTACTAATTCAGTGAGGCTGACCCTGTTCAGTTAGTTATTCAAATAACTAGCGAGTGGAAATCCAGCACTTCATCTATGCAAATCAAAGTTGCCATTACACCGATTGAAAGGGGGCAAAGCGTGGAAAATTGACGACAAGCTGAAATCGTACAGGAGGCGCAATCAGTGGAGAAGAATTGTTTGCGTTAGCAAAAGATAATCTCGAGCGTAACTTATCTTCACCGCAGATTACTCGATGCTCAGGTCCAAAGACTCAGTCTAATGTAACGCAAATTCCATCAATCGCAGCAGGAAATGCTGAAAAGTTCCAGCCCCACCCCCCGCCCCGCTCACCGCCATCAAAAAAAAAGTTTCTATTTTGCCGAGAAACCCTTAGATCAGTGGGATCACAGAGATAACACTATGTGTTGCAGATAACACAAAGACGGCAGTACGATCAAGCTAGTGTTACAGTTTAGAAGGTTGTAGGTTCAAGCTCCACGTCAGGATTTGTAACCACATTGTTTCTAAGGTGACTCTCCAATGCGGTGCTAGTGGTGGGGGGTGGCAGGGTGGGGGGGGGGGCTGCATTGTCAGAGGTGACGTCCTTCGGGTGAGGCATTAAACCGAGGTCCCGTCTGCCTGTTCAGGTGGATGTTAAAGATCCCGAGGCCACTATTCGATGAGAGAAAGGAGTTTCTCTCTTCCGATGTCCTGACCAACAATCCCCCAAATAAAATTGGCTGTTTGCACGCAACTGGCTGCCGTGTTTCACTCACAAAATACACGGCCAATCTACTTTACAATATATCCTCTGAAGGGCTTTGTCACATCTGAAAGACGTGATAAGGCGCTATATCAAATAAAAGGATTATTCTTAGTATGAGTATTATTGTTATTATCCTGTGAAGCACTTTGGGACTTCTTCCCGACATGAAAGGTACTGCACCAAAGGCAAGTTTTTTTTTGTATAAATGAAAATAAACTACAATGCTGATAGCTCAAGGCGCAAAATGTCATAAATACAACACCTTGGGGATGATTCAATGAATCGTCACCTTTTACGACAGGTAGGTCATCACATGAAACACGGTGAATCATTTCCCCGTTGTGCTGGTTTCCTCTGATGGCATTCTC